AAGCTGATTAATGAAAATCCGAAACAGTGACATTAGAACGCAAGTGTGGCTACCATCTCGAATCTAATCCACTCAAATACAACTTATTACCTGGAAAAAAAAAACACTCTTCGATCAGAGTTGCTTCAAACAAAATTGACTAAGAAATTCCTCTTTGCGATCAAATTAAAATCCAGAGTAATTTAGGGGTTTGATCAAAGTTCGAGTATCGATTCCCAAAACAGCATAGGAACCGTAGTTTCTGACTTTCTGAGAAAGAGAGAGTATGCGACTATTTTTCCTGGAAAATCGACTTGAATTATCCGGGAAAAGAGTTAAGTACCTGGAGAGGAGGAAAATCTGGGGAAGATTTTCTGGGAAAGATTCTGGGGATAAGAAGACGGAGATTTGGGGATCGATTGCTTCTAGATTGCCTGCGAAATTATCTTCCCTAATTCTACAATCTGATTGTATAAAAAAAAATTGGAGGTTTTTGAGTCTTTCGATTTTTTTAGAGAAAAGAGATCGGGTTTCTTAAGAAGATGTTGGCGAACCGGTATATGAACCGAACCGGTTTAAACTATTAAGAGAAACTCGGTTGATTGGTTTTGTTATTCTAAACCGGAATAAAGGTTCCCACTTCGATCTGACCAAACTCGCATCCACTTTTATCTATATCCCACTAAAGTCAGATACTGTATGTCCAGCCAATCCCACAGGCTTGACATATGTGTTCCTTTCACTAACTCAATCAACCATCGACCATAACTATTTAAACACCTACAAGCTAGAAACACAGTTAACCCAACTAATGGTTTGGTTTACTCAGCTTATCCAACCTCCGGTCACTCTTTGTAGTTGACTGAGCTACTTGGTAGGTGATTTAGCCCGTTTAACTTGAGTCTTGTTTCTTTACCTGCCACCGGTGGCTGCGGCTGCGTCCTATGACCAGACTTTGCATCTAGATGATGCGATTATTGTTCGTTTGCATGCTGCAACAGTTTCAATCGTGATGTTGAAAAATTCAGCATCCGAAAAATTTAAACGTTGTTGGAGTAATTGACCACAACATTTAACCGTAAGAGATTACGTCAGATAAACGGATATCATTTGGATGTATAACACAGCCGCAGACGGCAGATAAACGAACAAGACCTTGATCATTGAACTCATTTCAATTTAATTAACTGGTTTTGAGCTGAACCTTGCATATTGGATCAATCATTCGCCATTTTTTCGAATAACTAGACATCTTCTTCTCGATTATCCCAACATTGATTTTAAGGTGAACTTTGTCTATTGAATCAATCGTTCACCATTTTTCTCGAATAATTGGACAAATCTTCCGAGAAGTCCATGTTTTCTTAATTATTCCAATATTTTCCATACACCAAACTAAGTTTCATTTCATATAAGTACATTTTTAATCCTTTAGATGAGCAAACCATTATGATATACACTCTTAGTTTTTATCTATACTTATAATTGTGAGGTCAAAAATCATACGTGTCGCTCCCACAACGAGTTTAAGATTTGACTTGCCGATATTACCCTTAATGAATTGATTTATTTACAACCTTGCCATCGAGTGAATTTTTTTT